CTTTAGAAAGTTTAACGCAGTCCTAAAATTTTAGATATTATTAGAAATTATATTGAAATAAAGGACGAAAAAAGTGAAGAGGAAATAAATAAATATTATTGAAAAAAGAACCCTCAAGAAACCGATAAAGTTACTATCGTTTGTTGTTTTCATCTACAGTATTTATGGTAGCGGCTTATAACCTTTACAGCTTCTTTTCATGAAAACATCTTTTATTCTTTTTAATTCTAAAAGCGGATCAACTCGAAGGTTAAAGAAAAAGTAAGATCCAGTTCCAGACATAGAAGAGGCTTCGTTAACGCTCCGTCTTAATTAAACAATTAAATGAAATGTAAACTAGAATTTTAAATATGAAATATCTAGATTATTATTTTTTAAAACTCTTTCCACCCAATGGACACTAAGAAGTCCTTTTTTCCATAATTATGATGAGATTGGTGATATCCACAATGGCAACTGGATAGTGAGGTTCGGGACCCAATATAACTAAAACCTACCACTACGGCACTTTTGGCATTGCAAACCGTGTGATCCTTTTGATATTTAATTATATGGGCGTTTAAAAAGGGTGGTTAATACCTTCAGAACGGGGACCCACATTGAGCAGCACTAAAAGTGCCGTAGTGGTGAGTTTTGGTACTAATCTTTAACAAAAATGTCTTACAAATTCTGAAATATCAGATTTAGTTAGCGTTTTTGTGGCGTTTAGTACTTTAAATAAGTTTAAATATTGCACCAAATAACCATTGTTTACATCACCAAATAATGATAAATATTTATCGAACTACGAATAAACCTAATACGCGTAATAAACAATGATTTGTATACATATTTAAATCAAAAATTCGATTGAAATATGTACCTACGTCAATATAAACAAATCATATTTTCGAAGCGAGAGAAAGCACGATGGTGGCACTTCCGGTTTTACTCCACGTGAAAGTCCAATGGGAACCAACGACGAGATTATACTTGCTTGACTACGTTTAACTTAAATAAATTTATGAAGTATCCAACTTGTTCAATTGAACTAATTTTATTTACACTTTGACAGTCAAACTAATTTAACAACTTAAACGAGTTTAACTTTTCGAGTGTAAACGTATTATAATAAGATAAATTATCTAATATTTATAAAGCCCGTATTAATCATATATTCCATAACATATATATGTCCTTTATTGAAATAGAATCTTTGTCAATTAACTTTCTAAATTGAATCTATTTNGTTTAGTAATTCGCTAAAATTGGCAATTTTCATCTATTTATTGAAGTATTAAATTAAAGAAAATCATTCAAATATTCATTTAATAAATTAAGCACTAATAAAAGAAATTATAACAAATATTATTTTTATTGAGCTTCAATTTGAAAAAAAAACTGTAGACCTATAAATTCCAACTGTCATCCGTCCGTCCGTCTGTCTGTCATTTTTTAATTTCGAGACGAAAGAAAGACGAGACCAGATATGATATGGAAACCTTAGGGACTTTTCAATTGTTCTACTATGTAAAGAATAATTTTCTGCTTGTATGTTAAAGTTAAGTTTCGTGCTAGTCGGATGTCCATAGTATGGAATTCATATTTGTAAAGATAATGCAGGATAAAGTTGAATTAAAACTGCACCTGTATATTCAATTAATGCTTCTTTTATCAGCTAAACCTTGTTTCTTTCATCCTCTTCCAGCGTATTTATTCATTCTCATCACAAATAGAAACCAAACGCCATTTAGAAAATTTAAATATAAATACTCGAACACGAAAGATATATACAGTATGTGTACTTTTTAAAATAAAAGCAACATCTTTTAACAGCTCGCTAATTAAAATTAGCATTTATTTACTCTGATAAATTATAATTATACTAGTAAATTTTTACTTGAAAATAAAAATGCTTATTTACTTAATAACTCTTGAATTCAACAAAATTATTAAAAGCTATTCAACAAAATTACACTAATCACGTAGAAAATTATCACTAATACTCTGTATTGACTAAAGTTGCCTTTCAAACACAACCTATTTTTAAAACTTGAATTTCTTATTTTCTTTCTAATTAACTACAGTCTCTTTTACCTGTTTTATGGAAGAATATCCAATTGTTCTGCTAATTATAAAGAGTTATTTAATATTTTGAAGTTGCGAAACATTCGACAATATAATTATTTTGCATTAAAAAAAAACTCTTACAATGCTTTTCTTAAGACAAAGCATTTAAAAATAAAATTAATGACTAAAAATTTAGATTAAGAATCTTATTCAGAATTTACCTAAAACTCATCAAATTCTTATTGAAATACTTAAATAATAAGAATATAAAAGTATATTTAAGCCTTTGCTTAAATTTTATTCTGCTGATTTTGTGTAATTGAAAATATTATTGGAGAGGTTGCGACCGAAATTTTCATCTGTAAAACGTGAACGTCGAACGTCGAGCGCCGCTATCTTGTAAGTGGGCTCGACGTTCGACGTTCACGTTTTAAAAATGAAAACTTCGGCCGCAACCTCTCTATTATATGTTTTAATGTCACTTTGACATGTGTATAACGATATATGCCAAAAATTTTTAGATTTAATTACAGTTTTCAAGACTTGTCAGTTTATTTTATTGCAGTAAATAAAAATAAACTATGATATACGACTCATATATAAAAGAAATGCTAATATTTTCCTAACCCTTTTCAAAACTATTTAAAATCGTGTTAAATTCGTGTAAATATGAAAAATTTGCCTGCGAAATAAAGTATTTAATGTGTTATAACATATTCTCCTACACGTTTACATGTAAAATTTTAAAATAGCAATCAAATATGTCAGAATATTCGGGATTTATAATCAACATAAAAAGTTAAAAGTAGATTAATGTACGAAAGCAAAATCCAATAAAATCTTTAGAAAGTTTAACGCAGTCCTAAAATTTTAGATATTATTAGAAATTATATTGAAATAAAGGACGAAAAAAGTGAAGAGGAAATAAATAAATAAATATTATTGAAAAAAGAACCCTCAAGAAACCGATAAAGTTACTATCGTTTGTTGTTTTCATCTACAGTATTTATGGTAGCGGCTTATAACCTTTACAGCTTCTTTTCATGAAAACATCTTTTATTCTTTTTAATTCTAAAAGCGGATCAACTCGAAGGTTAAAGAAAAAGTAAGATCCAGTTCCAGACAACAAGTAAACCTTTCCAGTGCTTAACGAAACTATTGTTTTACCATCTTTTTCTTTTTGTATTTTCTGAATTGTTAACGTTTGTCTGCATTTTAAAAACGTTTTAACATTTTTTTTTTATTATATAACATACTTTAAGATTTTTATTATGTTTTTTTTTCTTTTGTAATTTATGTAATCTGGAGTTAGTTTCATTATGTATTCATTATCTTGTGAATAACAAAAGATACGAGCTTCTTAATATTGTGAATTGCATTTTTTTTTAAATAAAATTCACGTAGTATATAATTTTATTATACAATGAAACCTGTCTAAAACGTGATCGTATCGATCAAAATTTTATATTTTTCATGAAAAAATTCTGTGTAAAAAAAATCCAATATCTTAGGAATTACAAAAAGAAATTCCAAAGATATTGGGTTTTGAACGATTTAATTCCATTTTACTCGGGTTATATTAAATAATTATCATACATTTCCGCATTTAACAGGTTTAAATCGTATAATAGTAATGTATTTTACATAAAAAAATATCCGAAATTTATTTATTATTGTAGATAATTAGAACTGTTCCGAGATTTGTTTTCCGTTTTACATAGGTTTTTACTGTATTTATGTATTGTAAAATATAATAAATTATTGAATATATACAGGTGATTTTGACATAATTTATTCTCTGATATGTTTACCACATTATTACATTAATTTTTAAAAAATAAATATAATAAATATGCACCATATATAGATTTTTGAATATAACATATAAACATGCATAAATATATATATATATGTATGTATGTATGTATATACAATAAATAGATTTTTAACACGTTTAAATTGATTTTAAAAATATGCATTTATATATGTAAAATTTTACACTTACAATTTTTTCTTTTAATTATTTAAACTTAACTTTTTAAATTTTCGATTATATTTAAACACGAGATTTAATATCACATCAAATTCATAATAATTAAGTTTTAAAGAAAAGTTAAATAAAATATATATATATATACTGTATATATACTTTACTGATTAAAAGAATCCTGCTCTCTAGAATATTAAAAGTTACATTCATGAGCAATATGTCAATCGTAGTTTTAAATTTAACAATAATTATTAATTTAACTACAATTAAACTCTAATTATTAGCGAGGTTGCGTTCGAAGTTTTCATCTCTCAAACGTGAACGTCGAACGTCGAGGGCGGCGCTCGACGTTCGACGTTCACGAAAACTTCAGCCGCAACCTCTCTATTAAGTAGGATTTTATAATAGAAACTTTTTAGAGTCATCGATTTTAACTTTTTAACTTTAAAACAAGGTGGTTTGAAAGTTTGTTAACCGTATTTTTTAAAGTAATTAAATAATTTGTGAGTTAAAATGTGTGATTTGTTTATTGAGCAAATAGAGAGGTTGCGGCCGAAGTTTTCATCTTTAAAACGTGAACGTCGAACGTCGAGCGCCGCTTTCTTGTCGCTGTGTTTGGACGTCTGACATGACTTGCAATCATTGGATTTGATAGTTTCAAAATTNTTACAAGATAGCGGCACTCGACGTTCGACGTTCACGTTTACAGATGAAAACTTCGGCCGCAACCTCTCTATTATGTTATTTTAAACAACTTTTGCAAAGTTTAAGTAATAAACTATCTGAATTAGTCTATACAATGGTTAACAGATCATCTTGCATTTATGAATTTTAATACTTTTATTTAAAACTATATTTAATTTCTTATTATTAGGAGAAAATAAGATAATTGTTTTTCTATATTTTTTAAATATAAATTATATTTTTAAAGTGTTATTATTATTTTTATCGATGGTTAATCAAAGTGTTAGTTAAAGGAATACTTTGTCTGTCAAGAAAAGATATTATTCGCATACTTTTAAAATAAATGGGACTTAAAATATTATACATAGTTGAATAACAAGGAATTCATCTTCTAATGTGGTTAATGTTTTTTGTATTGTTCACATTCTATTTTCATTTGTTTTATTTCTAACGCTTCAAAAAATCTTCCCTTCAACTATTCGATTAAACAATATAAACTCTGAAAATCCTATTTATTTTAAAATTTATTGGAACAAACGTGAATTTAATTATATTTATATTTGTATCTGTAATATTTATTCGTCCTTTAAAAGATGATTTCAATCCAAAGCATGTCATTTTGTGTTAAAATATTTTTGAAAAATTATTCGACTAGAAATTGAATATCTAGAAGTTTTTCATTTGGAAAATTGTCATTCAGAAAATGAATTATTATTATTATTATTATTATAAACTCCATATTTATGGAAACTATTTGAATAATATTTTGAAGATAAATAGGCACTTATGTATTATTTATATCGTAATTTGTACAAGATCAGTTTTCTTCTAGAGAGCCAGAATTCTTATTGGCTTATTTACCTTATACAGGATGAATTGTTACTAAATACAATAATTTTACAGATGATAGAATCAAAAATTTTAATATTTATCGACAGTTATTTGTCAAATACACAAGATTATATGCGAATAATATATATTTTATGAGATTTTATGATGATTTAGAATTTAGATAAAGTGGTTTAAAGATAATTTATCCTATTTTTATTTCTTTAATTAATCATCATTGAGATTACTTCCATTTTTTTATTATTATTCTTTTCAAGATTTTATCGTAAAATAGCTTACATTCATACGTTATTTATCTTCTTTATCATCTCTTAGGATTATTGAATTTAGTAACGATGCATCCTCTATATAAAAAGTTAACTTTTTCTTTACTAAAAATAAATAGAAATAAAGTTTATCGTGTAACATGATTACAGAGTTATGGTAGCGTAATCGTGATTCCTTAAAGATACATCTCCCGTGGGACTAAATGTCATGGAAGATGCCAATGATGTAAAAGTATAGGTAGAACTAATATGCGTAACTTCGTTACGACTAGTGACACTTTTTAACCTCGGCTGTCTGCAATTTAATTTATTATTAGGGTAACAAGAAGAAAAGATTGTCGTTCTTCTACATGTTCTGTGGAAATAACGTAACATCTTCTTTCTAAATTTTGTAGACATGAAACAATATACGATAGGATTGAGGCAACTGTGTACGAAGGGTAATAAATAAAATATAAAACGAATAGTATATGTTCCATGATTATATACGTCTAGACAACATTTTTTAATAATATCCAGAATAAGCCGAGGTCCCCAACATACCAGAAACAGTATAACAATCAGAATTAACATCTTTATGACCTGTAAAATAGTTTTATATATATATTAAATCTCTTATAACTGAATAAAAATTTTAAATTATATTTTAAGACAAAATAATTTTTATTAATTAATCTCACTTGTTGTCTGGCTCTCTTGACATCTTGTATATCTGCGCTGACATGGCTTCTAAGTATGAGTTTTTTGTTACCATGATTTGGGCTCTGAGAATTTCTGCTTACGACAAATCTCTGTTGGCTAGACGACTCCCTAAATCAGTTTATATTTTATGTACAATTAATCGTTTTTTTTTTTTAATTTTAAAGTATAAAATGAGTTTAACATTACCTAAAAGTATTAGTCAGCTCATCCATTGTTTTGGTGCTAATCCACAATTCAATAATTACCCAACTATAACAAACAATCATTAGAACCGAAGGAATGGCAAAAAGGGCTGAAAATCTATAGACAGCAATAACAAATCCTCTCCAATCTCTTAAATCCTTACACAAGAATAAGGTCACTGTGATTCTGTAATTAGAAACAATCGTCTTCTCCATGTTCTGAAAAATAATTAGATTTACACAGTTTTAATTTCGAAATAATGTATTTAAAGACTATGAATAAATTTCCATTTAATACTTTTTTTCATTCTTTTTCTACTAAATTTGAAAAGGATTTATCTTGTCATTGATTAGATTAGAAAACTTTTCTGGAGTGTTTGCAAATATTTGAATAATCACTAAATAAAGAGTTTTCTTTTTATAATGATATGAAGGTATAAGTTAATGCGTTGTATACACTTTATACTACTGTAGGTTCTTGCAGCCCCACTAATAGCCCTTCATTTAACGGGCCTCAATAAATTACAAAGAAACATTTCGTACTGCCTGGCAGATTACTCACGAAAAGTTGTTAGAGTTTTGTATCATTGCTTAATGTAAGTGGACATTGACTAGTTTATTCTTTACAGTTTAATTTGATCAATTTATTTAGGAAGTTATAACTTGATATAATAAAATTATATATAATGAAGAAAGACAGCATGTAAACTTGTTCGAAAATTATCTGCTTTAAATGTGAATTTCTATTAGGTGAACGCAATGCTGTTTTTTATTTGACCCCTAAATTCTGTTATGCGTCTTCAATCAGTACGGACATTGTCATTTTGACCCCGCTNCTGTCATGTATTTCTCATTCATAGTTAATGTTACAACTGATAATTATAAGTTAATTCTAAATTCTAAATATTTAACACATAACGTTTAACATATGCTTATCAATCTTGTATCTACGAATAAATGTAAATTTTGGAATTAATTATTCGTGAATTCAGAAGTCAGCTTTATGATGATGATGATGATGTGTTTCTATGTTTATATTACTGAATATATATTGCAATGTAATTTATTAATATGATTAATATTCTTTATAATTCACAAAGTAGAGAGAAAGAGAGAGAGAAAAAAAACTAAAATAACTGAAAATATATTAAGAGAATCTCACTGAAATTAAAAAGGGACGAATTGATTAAATTATATTAGAAAAAAAATTATTTGAATAACATGTTTTGAAAAATATCTAGGTCCTATAAAACAATTTAGTATTTACTGCATTACAAATACGATTGCTTTATAGCTAACATCCGTAATAAATAAAATATTTTCTCGAATTTTTCCGGGTTAATAATAAAGATAGAATTCAAAAATTTATCTTCGTGTATGCCATCATGATAAGGTCAATAACTTTTGCAGTAGGCGTGAAGAAGGCCATTACACTATAACTAGACTCTTTGACTGCTAGACCGAATACATAAATCCCAAAGGAAATATACAGAAAAGCATTTATGAATAATTTATAAGCCGCACATATTTCTCAATGTTATTAACTAGAAATTTTTATAAACATTATAGCATATAATATTCTAGATAATTTTATCAAACACTTATGTTTACACATGTAAAGATACTTACATTGACAGCAACCATCGGTGCAGCTAATAAAAGTGATAATATCCAAACTCCAACCATTAACTTCTTACAATTACTAACTGTGCACAGGGAACGAGATCTTATAGGGAATACGATAACCACAAATCTGTGTAAAATTTAATAAAATAAAACATTTTTTTTTCAATTACGCGTCATCTCTTTTAAAAGAATTAAATTAAATTAAGTTTATACTGGAAAGGGAGTCTTCGAATATTAGAAATAACCAAAATGATTAAATTTAATTGTGTAAAAGCAACACGATTAAATGATTGTTGAGAAAGCGAAAGCATGTTTTATTTAATAATATCTCAATTAGTTGGTCAATTAGCTTTCACATAATTCATGCCATTCTATATTTAATAATATATTTAAAGATTTTGTTAATTTACAATAATTTTTTACTAACGAATTGCATTTTTTTATATTAGAATAAGATTTTCCCACATTATTTGTTCATAAAAGAGAAATTTTAATTATTTACGTTTAACTTAAGTTATATAAAATAATTTTAATCAACCTATTGAAAATAAATTGTAATCCTCTATGCTGCCATAGTCGATACATGTTTATTCTATATTGAGAAAAATAAAAAGAAAGTTGTTATCATATTTCACGTATTGAAGTTTATGAACCATAAAATAACATGTTTATTCGCCTTATTTACTAAAGGATAAATTATTCTGATATTAATCATCGATCTGTGTAGCTTTATGACATTAACAAATGTTTCTGTCAAGATCAGTTAGCTCGAACTAATAGAGATAAATTTAATTTTCCTCTTATCCATTATAAATGTTTAAAAAGCTTTTATATGAGAGTAATAAAATATATTTTTAAAACATTTATAAACTTACCTTTCTAGAGTAACTGCAGATAAATTAAAAACTGATGCAAATGCAGAAAGAGTTTCAGCATAAGCAGTTAATTTGCAGATAGTGCCTTGTGTATCCCAAGAAATTACGAAATAATGAGCTACATCTAGTGGTGCACAGATAACCAAGAGGAGAAGATCAGCAACAGCTAAACTCACCAAGAAAATGCTTGTTGCGTTACTGGCTGCACGATTACGAAGCAATACCACAATAACAATAACATTTCCTGTTACGCCTATCACAAATGTGATAATGTAAGTGACTATAATGGGAAAGAAATACTCATTTATAACCCATGGTATCAGCATCTCTTCCGGATGAGCGAAAAAGATTGCATCTTCGGGTGCTCTCAAAATGTTCTTGGTAACGTTTGGTTTAATAATGAATAAACAACTATCGTTTGATGCAGCAGTTTCGTTTATATCATTTAATAAGCAGACACTCATGTTTATTATTGTATTATTTTAATCGATTTCTTTTAAAATTTAGATTATTTCAAGAGCATTTTCGTGAAATCTGAAATATAATTAAAATGTATAGTAAATGTTCAAAGTAATGAAGAAATTTTTATAAAATAATCAGTGCAAAAAAAGGAAGTTATTAATTTTAGAAGAATTTTTTTAAAAATTAATTAAACTTTACTTCTTAAACTATTTCTATTTAGTTTTCTTAATTAAAAAGAAGAAAAAATATTTTAAATATTTGATAAACAATTAATTTAATTTGTATTTTTTTAATTTCATTTTGCAGATTTTATTATTTTTCACCGTCATCTTTATTTTATCTTACTATTTATTTTTCTTAATTCTTGATCGATATATTTGTATGCCGTAGCACTTGTTCCCTGGAGGAATGTCACCGCTATGACTCAAATTTTCTTATTATTATAACCAGAAAATATTTGAAGAATGGAGGGGGAAACCATTTAACTAATTATTCAAGACAGTTTTCTATCAATTCTTATTTATAAGATTTGAATAATTCATCAAAATTTAGAATTATTTTCCTTTTAAGTCTCACTACCTATTCAAATTTCGCTTATTGTCTACAGACAGAAATATTGAATTCGAACTTTAAACACAAGATTATTTTAGAATTTTGTTTAGTCACAGAGTGAATCTCTCTGAAATAAAAGCATTTTTTTTGATATTTTTTGAAAAATATCAAAAATTATTACACTTTTTTTCTTCTATTTTATTCCATAAATATAAGTATAATATCAATAAATGGTTCATAACACAGCCTTACAAGCGAAAGAAAGGCACTAAAATTCCTATACACATACAGACACACAAAAAAGATTTATAGCCAAATATTGAAAGCTTATAGTATTATTTTATTAAGCTTTAAGAATATTATTATCTTTCAGAAACATTTTAGGTTTATTTCATTTACCGTCAAGTAAGACTGTCATCGAAATTTCATTCTCACATAGGCTATAATATCTAACAGTTCATTACTACTCCTACTAACCAAACTTTTCTCATAAGTTATCCTCTTGCTGTCATGTATTTCTCATTCATAGTTAATGTTACAACTGATAATTATAAGTTAATTCTAAATTCTAAATATTTAACACATAACGTTTAACATATGCTTATCAATCTTGTATCTACGAATAAATGTAAATTTTGGAATTAATTATTCGTGAATTCAGAAGTCAGCTTTATGATGATGATGATGATGTGTTTCTATGTTTATATTACTGAATATATATTGCAATGTAATTTATTAATATGAACTTTATTTGTTATTAAATCATTAAACTGTTACGAATAAATTATAATTGAATGAAATAATTTTAAATAAATTGGTGCTATTTAAAAATACCCCCTTTTTTTACGTATTCTGTATAATGCAATTTCTAGAAAAGGTATGGTGTATTGTGCAAATGTAATTAAAATAACTTATTTTTAAGTGAAACAATTACAAAATAATACAATTGTGTGGAATAGAATTCGTTTAATTAATTATATTATTTTATTTAAATTAAGATGATTTAAGTAAGACAATATAAGATCATTAAGATAATATCTATTATATTTTAATGTGTTTAATAAATTAATTAATAGGAAAAATTAAAGTAATTAAAAAGGTAGAATTTACATTAATTTTAAATATATATATATCTATTAATGCTTGTATTAAGTTTAATATAATCCTGTAAAAGTTATTTGGGTTTATTTTATAAATTATTATAGGATTTTAATTTACATAAGTCTTTTAGAATTTTAAATCTGTTATTTAAATATTTATGCTTCATTATAAACTTAATATCATTTTGTACGAATATAAACAGTGTTTATATACATGTAAAAAATTGAAATTTTGCAAATCATTTGCATTTATCTGCATAAACTTCATTGTTATAAATGACTGTTGTTATAAAAGAAAATTAACATTAAATTTCCTAAAATCCCATTAGAGTTAAAACTAAATCCTATTAGCACGAAGAAAATTTGTCCTTAAAGATGTCAAGAACATCTGAAATTTCTCTTTATAGATGGACAGCTTATTATCTGTTGTTGATTTATATTCTGTACTAATAAAATCGTTCTTAAATTAATTTAATTCTTTATAATTTTCAAACTCTAATTAAAATTTTTATTGCTTATTTACATCATAAAAGTCTCTATCATATTTTCTTTACATAATTATTCTTTAAATAGAGTTACGAAGGGAGTCAAAACTTTTTGATATTACGAGCAGAATTACTTTTAATTGGATCATTATATTGATTTGAAATATTTTATTTTGGAAAATATAATTAATCGTCTTTTCTAAGTTTTAAAATTTTTCCATTTAACTCTAAAGGGATCAACAAAAATATTTTGTAGAAATTTTATTTTATTTCTTTATTATTACAAGCGTTTAATACTTTTTATTTTATTTTATTTTATTACTATTACATAATAAAAATTCCTTAGTGTATTTATTAATATATTTTATTATTTATCTTTGACTATAGCAGAAGTGTTTGTTGTGTTAATAATTGATTTAATAATTTATAAACACTACAGTCATTTACATTACGTTAAATATTTATCTATATATATAATCGAGACGGGTTGATAATAATAATAATAATAATAATAATAAACGCAGAGCCCAAACGGTTAGGAGTTGAAAGTTGAAATTTGGTACACAGTTAGGATACGTCACGAGAACGCACACTAAGAAGGGATTTTTCGAAATTCACCCTTGCGGGGGAGAGAGCAGGATTAAGGCTTCAACAATGGAAGTGTCAATAATGGAAATGTCAATAATGAAAGTGTCAACAATGGAAGTGTTAAGAGAAAGAGACGTGCAAGATTTACAGGTGCAGATGCGGTTTTTTTTTTGCGTTTTTGATTGCGTTTTAATAGGGTACGTCACGAGAATATACACTAAGAAGGGATTTTTCGAAATTCCACCATCGGGGGTTAGGTTGTTAACACTTCCCCCTACGGGAAAGTGTCAACAATGGAAGTGTTAAGAGAAAACGACGTGCAAGATTTACATACGCAGATGCAGTTTTTTTTGTTTTTGCGGGAAATCGAACATTTTTTAATCCATCTAAAAATTCTCTAATTAGTCTGGAACCAGGGGGACCTAATTCTTGCATTCTTTGAAAACGGGTAAGATTGACTATAACGTAATAATCTTAATCTTTGCTATTGTTACTTTTTCCCGAGCAACGCCGGGACTATCTGCTAATAACTTTGTAATGCAGCTATTAAAAATTTGTATTTGTTATTTATTAATTATTAAAAAATACGTATCTTTAATTATTATTTAATAAAAATTTTTAATTATTTTATCTTTATTTCAAACATTTTTCTTCTCAATTATATAAGTTTATCGTGAATTTACATGAAAAATAAATTTAATTTATAATGTATATATATGCATATATTGATGTAAATTTTGATTATAAAATAAAAAAGACCATTATAAATTTATTTAAAATACAGTAACAAGTACCATTTTAATAAAGATTTGTTTTTCTCTTTCTCTCTTTTTTTCATTGTAAATATTAAATTCTTAATTTGAATTACAAAATACAAATTATGCTGTTTTTACAAATACATTATTTTTTCTATATTCTATTTAAATTATCATAAAAATTTTAGAAATGTTAAACTTTAAAGAACAACAACAAAAAAATGCTTATAAATTACCGAATTATGCGGTTCATACTACAATAAAGAGTTCCATTTTCAAGATTAAAATACATTTTATTATCGAATTATAAAGTAATGATCAAATCTTTCAACTAAATAATAAAAAGTAAATTCATACATTATGATTTTTGTATTTGTATATATATATATATTTTTTTTTTTTTTTTTTAAATCGGTTTACATTTATTTCTTTTCTTTCCTTTTAAATGTTAGAAAAATCTTTCAATATTTGTTTGTATTGTAAATATTTGATTTAAAAAGCTGCTTTTGTCGCTATAAATTACTATTGTAGTACCGCAAAAGTTAGGAGAAAGTGGATTCTTATATATTGTTGTTAGCGGATTAGATACTGAAGGAAGAAGAATAAAGAGGGAATAAGAAATAGGATAATCATAAAAAAATAACTTGTTTACAAGAGATGATAACAATGAAATAAGCCTGTTTCCTTCATATTTGTGGATAAAGTAACAAAGAAGTATAGAACTTAAAATTAGAAAAAGTATAGAGTTGAACAATATAAGCCAAAAATTCTGTAAGGTAGCCAATCACAATATGTCAACTACGATGAAATTGTGGTTTTAGAACTTCGTATGGTATTAATAAACGTTTTTAAAAGCATAAAAAGCGTACTATGTTAAAAATTAGATCTTTAGTAGCAGCAAGTCAACGAAAATCTTTTATGGTACTTTTGCATGAGGGTATTCCTTTGGTTATTGAATAAAGTACAATCAAAAATAAAGCGGTCAGTAAATTGGAAGTCTACGTATGTTATTACAGTGGCAGATTTTGTCTGGCAATACGAATCAATATAAATATTCCTTATATTTCGCTTTAAGTCATTACGTATGGCTTTGTATGTAAGGTGCCCAATATTTTTCTTTTTTGCCAATTTCTTTTTACATCAATAAACAAAGAGTTTGAAAATAGAAAGGCACAGGAATAAATTAAAGAATTTTGCATTCGATATAACTCATTATTAAATAATAACGCATCTTAAATGGTAAGGTTTGTTTATTTTTTGTATGATATATTTTTAGCTTTTACGATATGAAATAACTACCTCACTCTAGGAAAGACGATATATTTTTATATCGTGCACTGAATGTTTTTGAAAATACATCCTGCCTTAGAGAATATCTTGTTCTCCCTCTGGTTAAACCCTATTTTATGCGATTTTACGCTTTGGTAGTATCAAAGTAGTGAGGTTACTATCAATATATAAAGTTCTGTAAGGAACACGCAAAAGAGAAATACATAAATAAAAAAAGGTTATTTTATCTCTAGAAATATGAACAATAAAGCATATTTCAATTTTTTTAAATGCATTTGTTTTTATTAATAATTGCAAATAAG